ATTTTGTTTATCTTTTCAAAGAATCAGCTCTTGGTTTCATTAATTTTTTCTTTTGTTTTTTCAGTCTCTATTTCATTTATCTCTGCTCTGATTTTTATTATTTCCCTCCTTCTGCTGATTTTGGGCTTTGTTTGTTGTTCTTTTTCCAGTACCTTTAGATGCGCTTTTAGATTGTCCATTTGGGATTTTTCTTCTTTGTTTAGAATTGCTTCTTTGCCTGAATTGCTATGAATTTCCCTCTTAGAACCGCTTTTGCTGTATCCCACAGATTTTAGCATGTCGTATTTTCATTTTTATTTGTCTCCAGGAATTTTTTGATTTTCCCTTTGATTTTTTCATTGACCCAATCGTTGTTCAGTAGCATTTTGTTTAATCTCCACATTTTTGTGGCTTTTCTGGTTTTCTTCCTGTAGTTGATTTCTAGTTTCATTCCTTTGTGGTCAGAAAAGATGCATGGTGTTCTTAAATTTATTGAGACTTGTTTTGCAACCTAATATGTGATCAATCCTGGAGAATGTTCCATGTCCATTTGAAAAGAATGTGTATTCTGTGGTTTTTGGATGGAATGTTCTGTATATATCTACTAAGTCCATCTGGTCTAATGTGTCCTTTAAGGCAAGTGTTTCCCTATTGATCTTCTGTTTGGATGATCTATCCATTGGTGTAAGTGGAGTGTTAAAGTTCCCTACTATTATTGTGTTACTGTCTATTTCTCCTCTTATGTCTGTTAATAATTTCTTTATACATTTAGGTGCTCCTATGTTGGGTGCATAGATATTTACAAGTGTTATATTTTCTCGTTGGATTGTTCCCTTTATCATTATGTAGTGCCCTTCTTTGTCTCTTGTTACAGTTTTTGTTTTAAAGTCTATTTTATCTGATATAATTATTGCTACCCCCGCTTTCTTTTCTTTGCCATTTGCATGGAATATCTTTTTCCATCCTTTCACTTTCAGTTTTTGAGTGTCTTTAGGTCTGAAGTGTGTCTCTTGTATGCAGCATATACATGGGTCTTGTTTTTTTATCCAATTGGCCACCCTATGGCATTTGATTGGCATATTTACTCCATTGACGTTTAAAGTAGCTATTGATAAATATGTGTTTATTGCCATTTTGTGACTGTTTTTTTTTCTGGGTGTTTTAGTAGTTCTCTGTTCCTGTCTTTTTCTCTTGCTCTCTTCCCTTGTGGTTTGATGGCTATCTTTAGTAATATGTTTGATTTCTTTTGTTTTACTTTTTTGCTTGATTATTATAGGTTTCTGATTTGTGATTACCATGAGGATCCTATTTAATATTCTATGTATATAACAGTCTATATTGAGTCGATAGACTCTTTAGCTTGACTTCTTTCTAAAAGCTCTACTTTTTCACTCCCCTCCTCCCACATTTTATGTTTTTCAAATCATATATAGTCTCTTGTTTAGTGTGTGTCTGTCCATTACCCTCTTATCATTGAAATAGGTGATTTTAGTACATTTGTCTTTTAACCTTCATATTATTCTCACAGGTAGTTGATCTGCTACCTTTACTATATTTTTACCTTTACAAGGGTTTTTGTTGTTGTTGTTTTGTTTTTTTGATAATAATTTTTTTTATCTCTATTTGTGGTCATTGCTTTCCCACTTAAATAAGTCCCTTCAGCATTTCTTGTAGAACTGGTTTCTTGGTGATAAACTCCTTTGATTTTTCCTTGTCTGGGAAGCTCTTCATGTCTCCTTCCAACCTGAATGACAACCTTGATGGATAGAGTATTCTTGGCTGTAGGTTTTTTCCTTTTAGCACTTTAAATACATTCTCTTCTTGCCTGTAGGGTCTCGACTGAGAAGTCCGCTGACAGCCTGATGGGCTTCCCTTTATATGTCACTTGTGGCCTTTCTCTTGCTGCTTTTAGGATTCTCTCTTTGTCTTTAATTTTTGAAATTTTAATTATAATATGTCTTGGTGTGGGCCTCTTTGGGGTTATCTTGTTTGGAGCTCTCTGTGCTTCCTGAACTTGGATGTCTGTTTCCTTTCTCAGATTAGGAAAATTTTCATCTATTATTTCTTCAAATAAATTTTCTGCCCCTTTGTCTCTCTCTTCTCCTTCTGGGACACCTATAATCTGAATGTTAGCATGCTTGATATTATCCCAGAGTTCCCTTAGACTGTTCTCATTCTGTCTAATTCTTTTTTCTGTTCTGCTTGGGTGATTTCCTCTAGTCTTTCATCTAGCTCGCTGATCTGTTCTTCTGCATCCTCTACTCTGCTATTGAGTCCCTCTAGTGAATTTCTCATTTCCAGTATTGTATTCTTCATTTCTGATTTTTTTAAATATATCTTCCAGTTCTTTGCTGATGTGCTCACTGTGTTCATCCAGTCTTCTCCCCATATCTGTGAGCATCCTCATGATATTTTGTTTGAACTCTTTGTTGAGTAGGTTGCTTGTTTCTGTTTCATTTAGTCCTTTTTCTGGGGTTTTGTCCTGTTCCCTTGCTTGAAAAGTCTTCCTTTGTCGCCTCCTTATGCCTCTTTCTCTGTGCTTATTTCTACGTATTAGGTGAGTCGGCTGTGTCTCCTGATCTTGGAGCAGTGGCCTTATGTATGAGATGCCTTATGAGGCCCAGCAGCATGCTTCCCTCTCGTCACCAGTCCATAAGAACCAGGAGTGACCCCTTTGTCTTGTGTCTTGGGCTACTTGTGTCCTTCTGCTGTGGCAGGGATGCTCCCACTGCAAGAACCCAGGGAGTCTAGTCTTTCCTTCCCTGGCCAGCTGTTTGTAAATCCGGTTTGGGGAGCCTCAGTACGGTTGTCTACAAAGACTATCAGCACACTCCTATTGCAGTTTTCCTCTTAATTGGGTTGGTACCTAGTGTAGCTGGTTGCTAGGCTCAGGGGTTTACAGTTGTGATAGGCCTCAGGCCTACAAGGCTGTTTTCACTTCTCCTAGGAGTGCAGCTGAGTGGGGCTGGCCCTAGGCACAGGAGCACTCAATTGCTTCAGGCTTTGGAAGGTGGGGCTGATCCTTTTTATGGCTCTTTGTGAAGCACAGGTCTTTTGCCCTGTTGATAAGCGTTAACTGCCCCCCCTCGCCCCCAGGACCACACAGGCTGTCAACACAGTCCTGGTCCCTGCACACTTCTCAACACCCTGGAGTGTACCCTGACGCCGCACTGCAGAGGCCCCCACCTCTCCACCAGTGCCCCCCACAGTTCACCTGGTCCTCACACAGGCCCTGCCCCATGGAGGCAGACACCCTTGCCTGCCTATAGAGGATCAAGGCACCGTCAGTGCAGGCTGAAAAGTAGCCTGAGGACTTGCTGTTGGGTGGGGCCGGTCCCTAGGGCGGGTTTCCTGCCCTGGCTGAACTGGATTAAATCTGTGCTCTAGTGGGCGTGGCAGACCCCTGGGCTAACAGGCCAAGGGATGAACCTCAATGGCACCCACCGCCCACTGGAGTCTGTGTCAGCACACCTGGACCAGTTCAGAACAATGGCCCACACCAATGTCAGTCTCCGGAGAGGTCCCTCCTTTCACCAAGATGCCCCCAGAACCCACCAGGTAAGTCTTATTTCACCAAAGGACTGTCAGCCTCCTCTCTGGTGATTTCAGGTTGCTGCAATGAGTGAGTTTGTCTGTGAGCCCTTTAAGAACCGGGTCTTTTCAACTTTCGGCCGATAGCTTTTCTGGGGGTATCCTCGCTGCAGTTAATAGCCAGTGAAGCCAGACAGTAAAACCCTCGTCTCAGTTGGGCTGAGTCTGAAGGATGCTATAGCATATCGGCCCTCACTCCGGTCCTCACTCCTCCAGGGAGGGCTGTGTACCTTAGGGTGGCTCCCACCTGGCCAGCTGAGAAGCTGCACTGCTCCCAAAGGTGGCTTTTTTTCCTCTCCAGCAGGAATTTCTGCCTCTTCCTCCTTAGTCAGTACTGTCCCTTGTTGTGGGGGTTCTTTTTATTCACTTTTCAGTTTTCTCTCCAGGGTAATTTTTCCAAAAATAGTTGTAACCTGGTTGTGTTCGTGGGAGGAGATGAGTTCAGAGTCTGCTTACGCCGCCATCTTGACGAGATCCCTTAGACTATACTGTTTTCTATAGCAGTTGCACTGTTTTACAATGCACCAACAGTTCACAGGGGTTCCAGTTTCTCCGTATCCTTGCCAACACTTATTTATTGTCCTGATGGTGGCCATCCTCGTGAGTGTGAGGTGATAGCTCACAGTAATTTTGATTTGCATTTCTCTGGTGATTGGTGATGTTGAGCATCTTTTCATATTCTTGTTGGTCATTTGCCTATATTCTTTGGAGAAATGTCCATTCAAGTTGTTGGCCATTTTTTAATTGGGCCACTTGATTTTGTTGTTGTTGAGTTGTAGGAGTTCTTTATATATTCTGCTTATTAACCCTTATCAGGTATATGATTTGCTGATATTCTATCCCATCCTGTAGGTTGCCTTTTCACTCTGTTGATTGTGTCTTTGCGCAGAAGTTTTTAAGCTTGGTGCAGTCCCATTTGTTTATTTTTGCTTTTGTTGCCTGTGCTTTTGGTGTCATATCCAAGAAATCACTGCCAAATTCAGTGTCTTGAGGCTTTCCCCCTCTTTTCTTCTAGGAGTTTTATAGTTTTAGGTGTGTTTCCTATTTTGAGCTAATTTTTGTTTGTGGTATAAAATAAGAGCCCAACATCATTCTTTGGCATGTGGATATGCAGTTTTCCTAGCACCATTTGTTGAAGAGACTCTCCTTTCCCCATTGAGTGGTCTTGGCACCCTTATCAAAGATCATTTGACCATATAAGCAAGGGTTTATTTCTGGGTTCTCTATTCTGTCCCGTTAGTCTATATGTCTGAATGCCAGTACCACACTGTTTTGATTTCTGTAGCTTTGTAATATGTTTTGAAATAAGGAAATGTGAGGTCTCCAACTTTTTCTTTTTTGAAATTGTTTTGGCTGTTTGGGATCCCTTGAGATTCCATGTGAGTTTTAAGATGAATTTTTCTATTTCTGTAAAAAAATGCCATTGGCATTTTGATAGGGATTGTGTTGAATCTGTAGATTGTTTTGAGTAATATGGACATCTTAAAAATATTAAGTCTTCTTATCCATGAACACAGCATACCTTTCCATTTTTGTGCCTTCTTAAATTTCTTTCAGCAATGTTTGTGTGGTTTTCAGAGTACAAGTCTTTCCCCTTTTGGTTAGGTTTATTCCCAAGTATTTTATTCTTTTTGATGCTATTGTAAATGGAATTTCCTTTTCAGATTGTTCATTGTTAGTGTATAGAAACACAACTGATTTTTGTGTGTTGATTTTGTATCTTGCAACTTTGCTGAATTTATTGGTTCTAGCATTTTGTATTTGTGTACTCTTTAGGGCTTTTTACGTATAAGATTATGTCATTCGCAAACAGAGATCATTTTACTTCCTTTTCAATTTGGATGCCTTTTATTTTGTTTTCTTGCCTAATTGCTCTGGCTGGGACTGTTTTGAATGGAAATGGTGAGTGTGTGCATCCTGGCCTTGTTCCTGACTAGAGGAAAAGCTCTCAGTCTTTCAGCATTGAGTGATATTAGCTGTGGACCTGTCATATATGACCTTTACTACATTGAGGTAGTTTTCTTCTACTCCTAGTTTGTTGAGTGTCTTTATCATCTAAGTGTGTTCAGTATTGTCCAATGCTTTTTCTGCATCAGCTGAGATGACTGAGTGCTTTTTGTCCTTCGGTCTGTTGGTTGGTGTGACATGGTGACTGGTTTTCCTGTCTTGAACCCTCCTTGCATCCTAGGGGTGAATCCCACTTGGTCACGGTGTTTGATCCTTTCAGTGTGCCGCTGAATTTTGCTGGTATTTTGTTGAGGAGTTTTGCATCTGTGTTCATCAGGGATATTGGCCTATGATTCTCTTTTCTTGTAGTGTCTTTCTCTGGCTTTGACGTTAGACTAATGCTGGCCTCATAAAATGAGTTTGGAGTATTTTCGTCTCAGTTTTTCAGAAGAGTCTGAGAAAGATTGGCATTAGTTCTTCAAATGTTTTGTGAGTCACCAGTGAAGCCATCTGGTGCTGGCTTTTCTATGTTGGGAGGTTTTCCATGACTGATTCAGTCTCCTTACAAGTTCCAGGTCTGTCCAGGCTTTCTGTGTCTTTGTGATTCAGTCTTGGTTGCTGTGTTTCTGGGAAGGTGTCCGGTTCTTCTCGGCCGTCCCGTGTGCTGGCCTGTGTTGTTCAGAGTCACCTCTCACGACCTTTGTCCTTCTGTGGTTCACTTGTAGTGTCTCTTCTCTCACTTGTGAGGAGGCGTTTTCAGGGAGATTGCTGGAATGGGCCAAAATGAGGCCCCAGTGGGGAGCATGGCCGGTGGAGGGCGCTGACGCACTGGATCCTGAGATTCTGGATTCGCCTTCCAGGCTCCAGGGAGCCCTGAGGGAGCCCGGGCGCCGGAACCAAGGCCCAGGTCTTCGCCCTCGCTGTCCTCTAAGCTGTTCTTTCACAAGAGTTTGTTACATCTTAGAATATGTAGTTTTCGGATGGAAGTTTAAGTTAGAAATAGTTTAATATTTTCTACTCAAAAGTGTAATTCTTTTTTCAAGTGAAGGAAGCACTAAAGGCTTTTCATTTGGAAGAGCACAGCCGTGATGAATTTGCTATCCATACGCTGCTGAAGTAGTGGAGTTGAGGCTGAATTAATGAGTGACTGTCAGAAAAAGGACAATAGAAAAAATAGGGAAATCTCAAAGTATAGACTGTAGATAATGATCACATGTCAGTATTGGTTCATTTATTGTAACGATGGTACCTCACTCAAGGTAAGATATCAATAGTAGGAGAAACTGGGTGTGGGGTATACGGAAACTGTCTATACGTACTATCTTTATAATTTTTCTGAAACAAAAACCACAAAACACAATGAGTGATTATCCTGTAGATAGGAATAGCACACCTTAAAGATGTTGATTTTAATGAGATTAAGTTGGGCAGTCTTTGTTGTCCTTTATTTTTGCCATCCTATTAAAATATTTTTCTCTTTCCCTGATTCAAAGGACCAACCGTCCTATACTCAGAGGGGGCCAGGCCCTTTCTGACATGCCTTCCTGGCCTTGGAGAGTCTCCTCGTGGGCTAATCAGTTCTCTGCTGGGCACCCCTCCCTGCAGACCTGGGGACCTCTCTCCACATGCCCCTCTCCCTTCCAGGAAGGCCTCTGTCCCAGGAACTTGGCTGCCTGGGTCTCCTCGACTCTCAGCGTCGTCTCCTCCCCACAAGGAGCAGAGCAGGACCTTCCCCAGGTGCCCCTCCCTGAGCCTCAGCCTGAACGCCCTCCAGGCTCCCCTGGGACAGGCAGGGCTCCCTCGTTTGTTTCCTCTCTCAAGGGTCACTGTCCTTTCCTGGCTGCTGTCCCACGTCTAGAGAACTGTGGTTCTGTGTGTTTTGCCTGGTTTTCTTGATCGTTTCAGATGAGAGGGTAAGTCTGGTCCAGAAGCAGAAGCCAGTCAGATGGAGTTTTGTGAAGATTGTGTCTTAGTGCTGCAGCTGGATTATTGATACAGTGTTTTCATTGTCAAAGTAAAAGGTAGTTCTCTATTCATGACTCTTTTAAAAATGATTTTTAAAAAGTCCAGTCTCTTCTAATTGGAGTCATGTTATCTGCAACAAATTGGAATAGACAATGGCATAACTGGGGAAGGTTTTATTTAGTTCAGTATGCAAAAATATGCCTTGAGGTGTCACCCAATAGTGGTGACCCTCCGCACAGACACACCGTCCCCTGGACGGAGCGCCTTCGGGCAGCAAAGACCCCGAGCAGACCCTGGAGAATGCCCCATCTGTGCCTGTTAGGTTCTCTTCGTGAAAGTGCTGCTGAGCGTCAAGGTTGCTCGAGAACGTCCAGGCATAATTACTTGCCTTTTAGCTTGTTGGCCTCAGGGCTTGGTACTTCTGGATTTTTCCACATAGAGTTTGATGGACTTTTCTGCTGCTAACTCCCCTCTTCCTCTGGGAGAAGCCCATCTGGCAGCTCCAGCCCCCAGACCCTGATAGTCGTCGTCCCCTCCAGTGATGTCACTGAAGGCCCAGCTACAACGTGACGTCATCAGGGAGCTCCTGCGGAGGAGAGTCCTGCTCAGCTGCTGAAGAGGAGCCGTCCTGGGTCTAGGAGGGACTCCTCCAGCAGCATCTGTCTGGACTGTCACATCCCATTGGTAGGGGCCTGCTCTCTGCTACCCGTGCTTGTCTCTAGCTGCCCAGAGGTGGAAATGACCAGGATCACTCAGTGTCAGAGGATTGCTTGTCCCTCTGTCTGTTAGAGGAGAATGCAGTCGTAGATGACACGGAAGAAACTGGGCAGACAGCCCTGAGAACGCCAAGCTCTTGGTCATGATGGAGGTGCACACGCACTGGCCTCATCCAGGCCTCTGGCGGCTCTCAGGCGCATCCTATCCAGCGGCCACAGCAGTGGGTCTTTCTGCTCCTTCCTGTCCGTGTGCTGTGTGCTCTTCACAACAACGTGTCAGCGATGCTTTTCTGCCCGATGCTGGTGGTGATGAATGACCTGGGGCGGACGGGTCCCTGGGAGTGAGTCAACCCACGGCTGCTGTGCTTCCTGTCACCTTGGTTCTCACTTCGTTTGATTTTACAGTGTTTTCCCCAAATTGCTGTGTGCGCAGATTCACAAGGAAAATTATCAAGAGCCGGGTGATTCTAAAACACTTTTTCTTTGGTTTTTGTTTTGCTTCCAACCAAGTTAACCAGAGGGAACCTGAATTGTGTATCATGGAAGCTATTTTTGATTGAGAAGATATTAACTTACATAGCAATAGATGAATAAACTGGTGGTTTTGAGACTTTATGCTTAAATGATTATATAGATGACATTTACAAGTTTTAATTTTGCTAAATGCTTGCTGATTTTAAAAATTGCAAACTGAGAATTGACAGTCCCTGTAATTGTTATGTACATATGTATGAATGAAGAATTTTACTGTTTTTAGGACAGCAAAAAAATATCGTTTTTAGAATAAGAAAAATCCCAAGTCCAAGCAAATGTTGGTTTTTGCTCCATGTGACATTTCCACCTCTTCAGCTTACTCAGTGTTACAGTGGTTGGTCACATTTATACAATGTTTCTAATCTGCTGTGTGACTTCATGAGTTTTTCAGTGCATCTGTGTTCCTCTCAACCCCTTCCTGCAGCAGGAGGAGCTCCTTCTCCTGTCCTGGGTTAACCCCCTCTCCTTCACCTCTGCTCCCTCGCACTCCCATCTCCTGTGGGATCTTTCTCCAAGAAGTAACCTTGTACTTCTCCTGTGCCATTCCCTCTTTCCCTGCGATGCACTGGCGTGTGGATGTTCCACTCACAGCCACGGCCTCCTCCCACACCTTCCCTGGTGCAGCCATCCCCTCGCTCCTCTTCCTCTACCACAGAACTTTGAGAAAGAGGTGCCACTGTCATTGCTGCCTCACACTAGCCTCACCTCACCCAATGCACCCTGGTCACCAAAGGTCACCTTGGTTTTAGCACCCTTGTGAACTCTAATGGCCTATGTGCACGTTGATTACTGTTTAGGATTGAAAAGACGTTCATTTTTAAAAGCAACTAACTCCGGCAATACCTTTACTCATTCAATCAACAAACTCGTGGGGATCATGTGCTCTTGGCTGGGGACTGGTGCTGCAGGGATGAAAGACACCACTCCCAGCCTCAAGGAGCCTGAAGTCCAGTGGTGACAATGGACACAAAACAAGCAACCGTAGACGTAAGCAAAGACCGATGCAGGTCTGTTTGTGGACGGAGGTAAGCGTCGTTCTCTGACAGAGAATATTGTTCAGTCAGCAACGTGCTGGCTCTGCTGATTGACGGATGCTGTGTTGAAGTGAATTTAGAGATTTGTTTTTACTTTTTTACTCTTACAGAATGGTGTTAGTTACAAAATCTTTTTTTTTTTTTTTTTTATGGAAACTTGACACGATCTTCTTTGTAAAGTGATGCGTCCCCGTGCACTTCGGGGAGAGGAAAGTTTATCATGAGCACCTAGTTTCAGGCATCTCTTGCAGGACGTGCTGAATGGCCTGGGGAGGGAGGTTAAGCTGAGGCAGAGAGACAGCTCCCACCGCATGAGGACGCCTGGGGTCACCCTGCCTAAACCCGCATCAGCACCACAGAGCTGCCCCGATGGCAGGACCCGTCCTTACTCGTCACTGTGTCCTCCATAACGTCTCTTTGCAGATTCTGAACTGGAGAGCAGGCCAGGACACTCTGGGCGCCCAGAGCTATTGCCTCAGCTTCTTCTGGACGAGTCTGTGACGCTTCTGGATCGGTGGGACCCTTCTTGATGCCACAGCAACTCCCTGCCTGGGCCGGATGAAGAAGCCGTGAGTTGATCTGTGTCCAGAAGGCTTCCATGTTGGGTGGTGCCTGATAGAGCCAACCAAGTCCTCTTTCTGGTCATTGTGACTTCCAGAGGAGCAGCAGCAGGGCCTGGGGTGAGCTGACACAGAGGAACGTGGAGGGGCCGAGCCCTGAGTACTCGCAGGGTAGGGAGTGGGGGAGCTGGCCTCTGAGGGCGACCAGGCGCCCAGGCCTCCAGCACTTCCTCCAGCTGCCCCTCTCGTGTGTGGGGATGACTTCTCAGCTCTCCAGGGATCACACACAGGCTCCAGGGTCTCCTTTCTTTCCCCCAGGCAGATAATAAATGCCATCAGGTGGCCTGGGAGAGACTGCTCCTGTGGCCTGTGCGACTCCAACGCTAATGATTCTAAGAGGAGGAACCGGTGCCTTGTTGCCACGTCACATGCTGTGATAGCTGCCAGCGGCACCTGCTGCTCATGTGTGGCCTTATGCTGGTTCTAAAGTTTTCCAGTCAGTAATGCATCTTTGCCAAGGTAATATAGTGTTAAATGGTATTGCTTAAAATACTATGCTTTTTAATGTAAACCAGTTCCTTAAAAAATATTACAAAGAAAACCAGCCAGGGAAGCTTGAGAAGGAATTTTAGTATCCATGTTATTTTAGAATAGTTCTTATTTAAATAAAAAGCCTGTTGCCATGTTTTAATGTTTTGTACATATAAATAAAATGAGCCTGCCAAATGTGTGGTTTTCATCAGATGGGCTTTGTCTGATTGAAGATTAAATATTTTTGTAAAACTGGCCCTTGTTTGGAGTTTCATGTTGCCACAAGAATTGATGAGCGGAAGCTCGTTTACAATCTGTAAATTGACTTGTGAAAGTTCCCAAGGGTTTTACCTATTGATTTTGGACTTGCTCCCCAACCTACACAGGCAATTAAGTAAGAGTCAGAAAACAGAAGACACTCCCGCAGGCCACCTGCTGAAGGACAGGTCCCATCCAGGGCCGCAGCCCTTCGTTCCTGGTCTCTGCCTGGGTGGGCTCTCTCCTCTGCAGCCCTCTAGCCCCTCCCTGCGCCCCCTGTTGAGGGACATGCCTCTTCCACGTGGAAGCAATGTTTGGCGGGTGCCACCTGCAGCACGGGAGGCCTCCTCCCCTGGGGACTGGAGAACGCACTTTGTTTGAATGTACCGTCCATGCACATAAAGCCAGGAATCCAGATTAACATGGGAAACTCAGCTATTTTGAATGTTTCGTCTCATAGACCGTGTCCTTCCTTAGTGCCCAAGAGAAGCTCTAACGGAATTCGGATCCGTTTTAGTTTAATTAAATTGTCAAGCTAGCTTGGCGGCCACTCCTGGGTTTCCAGGCAGAACTGACTCTGCAGGCAGGCGTCTGACAGTGTATGCGCTTTTCCTGGTTCCACTGCTCTGTGGATTTAAAAGCTTTTAGCAAATATTTTTAAATGATCAGCCCAGGCCTTTCATGCAAATGTTATAATGAGTAAAAAACAAAAAAAATGTAGGTATACATATTGGAAACATAACAGTCTCTTCATGAAAGTTCAAGAATCTCATAAGGATGTAGAAAAATACAGGAAGGCAAGAAAATAGCCAAATTATTTAAGGATTGTTACTGGATTTGTATTAGGCTCCTACTCATTCAATTTAAGTCCTGAATCCACAGGCAAACATTTACTGCTGGGTTAAGACTGTGGACGTTCTAAACAGAACCTGACCTATCATTGTGTAAATTTTGGTAGTTTTCCTTTTTTGCTTTTTGTTTGCTTTTTTGACTCATGTAGTAGGCAGATCTTCACTTACTGAAAATAATGACTGACATATAAAGAAGACCCTCACCTCTAAGAAAAACTTATTTCTGTTTTAGTAAAATTCAGTAATAGCCACTTCCTCTCAGACGGGATACTGCCAGCAGTGCTGGGCAGAGACCTGCTCTCAGCCGTTCTCCCTGGATTTATCCGCTCATTCCTACAAAGGACAGAGAAGTTCCTTTGGTGTGGTCAGGAATTTTGTTCTGGCAAACGGTCAGCCTCACAAGCCATGTGCTGTTTCTGTGTTAAATTAGAGGAAAAATCCTGGCCCCTCATGTTAATCTCTGACAGGTTCACGTCTAGAGAATCGAGAAATTCCTGCAGACAGGTTCCGTGGATCTATAACATTACACGAGCAGACAAATTGAAACGAATGTAGAATTATTTTCTGGGAAAGCAAAAGTCTTGCTTAACTTACGACGTCTAACCAAGTGGCCACGTTTCGTTCTTTCTCAAACCTGTCTTGACAGTACTCGCAACCTGGCAGGGCGGGTGTGGGAGTCAGAGGTAAGACCCATACTCTGGCAGCGGTGCCTGGCCCAGCATCGCCCGGTTCCCCCCGGCGTCACCCAGTTCTGCCCAGCATCGCCCCGTGTAGCAGAAGACACCATGGAAACTGGAGCTGGGGCACAGCAAACGGTGCCGTGGGCACTTCCCGGAGTGACTGCAGGTCACACCACAGTCACTGCATCTCCACAAACAACCGTGGTCGACAGCAGGCCGGGGCTTAGAAACATCATGGGGACAGCTGCCTTCTGGGGGCGTCCATGGGGGAAACGTGCATCTGTGAAGCACAGTGTGTCCTGTGCCGGGGTCTTACCTTACAGAGGCGACTGAGAGGCCAAAGGAGAGGTCAAGGCCACAGAAAGGAAAGTTTAGTCCCTCACACGTCCCGAGAAAGGAGAGGCAGGCCCCTCGCAGGCCACTGGGGCAGCACCAGGTTTGGTCAGGAGGCAGAGCGGGAGAGGGGAGCGCCCAGGCCAGAGCCCAGCCTGGGGTCTCCTAGGAGGGCGAGGCAGGCGGGGTGACCGGGGACGGCTCGTGGAACAACTTCTGCAGGCTTTGGCTTGGGTCCCGACTTGTGCTTGGGGCGATTACGGCAGAGGAATACTCCTCCTGGGTGTGCTGGCCAGACAGAGACACTCCACATCGGCTAGTCTGCGTGTAAAAGGCACACGCCAGCTGGGCCCTTTGCCATTTCGGGAGTTGGCTAGCCCCAGGAGGCTCAGTCTCTCCCCAGCCAGAAAGGTCTTTTAAGATGTCAAAACAGTAAACTATACAGAAAACTAAAAGTGTGATCAATACAGAGTGATGCTGTTCTTCGTCAGAATGTTGTGGCCCAGGGTGGGACGCAAAGGAGGAGCTGCCACAAACGTACGTTTGCACAACTGAAGGTACCAGTTTTGTAGCTACTTCTTCAGTGATTCCGGGGGGCTTCCCAGAGTGGGTGGAATGTTTAGCAATTAATTCAGCCTGTGTAATCTGCAGGTAATCTTCTTCAGTAATTAAAAAAAAACAAAAATGGAATTATCTTCTGCTTGTTGGAAAAATATTTGCTACACTGAAGAGGCGAAACAGTGAAGTTGAACACATTTAGATTATAATATGATAAATAGATCTTACATTCCACATGAAGAGACCCTTGTTAGGGGTGTGTCACACAGAGCATTCCTGAGCCACAGTCTCTGGCACTGGGAGCATGCAAAGGGCGCAGAGCCATCCCAAACCACTCCCCAGTGCCCTCGGCGTTCTCGACTTCATGCCTGCTAGCCGCATGAACGTAGGTGAGTTACGTGACCTCTGAACCACTGAATCCCCCAATCGCTAACTTGGAGGGTGGCTGCGAGGAAGTGACACCTTCCTTGGCAAGTTCCCCTTTGGTGGATGGTTTGTGATAAAGTTGTGAGGAAGCCCAGGGAGCTACATGGCAGAGGAAGCAGCCCAAAGGGATAGGATGGAAACCCTAAGTTCATGAGATGCTCGCCCGTGAGTTATGATGGAGCCTGATGTTAATAGTGATACTTGCGATCCAGTGACACCTGTCTCTCCCCTTGTCCTGGGCTTTATAAAAACCCCAGCCGTGGGGCCGGCTCCATGGCCGAGTGGTTAAGTTCGGATCCTGGGCACAGACATGGCACCGCTCGTCAGGCCACGTTGAGGCGACATCCCATATCCCACAACTAGACAGACCTGCAACTAAGATATACAACTATGTATAAGGGGGGTTTGGGGAGATAAAGCAGAAAAAAAAAAAGGATTGGCAACAGTTGTTAGCCCAGGTGCCAATCCTTAAAAAAAAAAACAATGAAAAAACCCCAGCCGTGAGTTATGCACAACAGGAATTTTATCACTACCTGCCAGCTCTGTGATTTGGGCAAGTTGTTCATCCTCTCAGATCCCAGGGCTCCTCATCCACAAAGTTCAGTTAATGATGCTCACCTCACTGGGTTACTGCGAGGATTACTACAATTTATGTGAAACACCTACTTGAGTGTGTGACTTCCTTTTCCCTTTTCTCCCTAAATGTGTTAGGTGTCATTAAAAAAATCTATTTGGATCTTGCAAATATCTCAACAGTGTTTCTTATTTACCCTTTTTTTAACACTTATTAGGAAAATTGGCGTCTCTTGTCATAATTGATAGTAATAACATAATTTTTATCAAAGTTTGAGTATTTTTAAAATACAAAATAACTATTTTGCACTTAAATTTTGAATAAATCACAGTTATCAATATGCTGCTACATCTCGATGGGCAATGCAGCCATGGTGTCTTTTATAATAATTATAGCATAGTATAGTAGAGTAATTCAGTTCTTAGAATTGCGGGCAGAATTCTACTATGGCTGCCAATGACCCACACTCTTGACAAGCAATCCCTTCTCCTGGTGTGCTTGCCTCTAACCGATAGAAGATGCAGATTTAATCAGCATCCCTAATCAGCTGACTCAGAGTTAATGGAAAGGGACATTATTCTAGGTAGACCTGCCCTAATCAGGCAAGTCCTTGAAAGAGGGCCTGGGCCCTGCCATGAGGGAGTTCCTCTGGCCTTGGAGAAATAAGCTGCCGTGCTGTAAGAGGACCACATTGTCAGAACCCGAGGGCAGCCTGCAGGAACTGAGAGTGGCCCCCGGCTGACAGTTGCAAGAAAACCGGGGCCGCAGTCCTACAACCGCAAAGAGCTGAGGCTTGCCAACAGCCTGAGGCTTGGAAGCCCCCAAGCTCCAGGAGGATCACAGCCCCGCCAACACCTGATGGCAGACTGAGACGCAGCCAGCAGTCCCAGCTCACCTGTGCCCCGGTTCCTGGCCCCCAGGAAAGGTGAGACAGCACGTGGCATGGGTCTAAGCCACTGCGTTGGTGGTCGTTTGTCATGCAGCAAAGGGAAAGACCATCCTATGTATACGAAATCTATGGTGACTTGGCAAAGAAATGTCACAAAATTTGCTTCCACGAGAAAGTAGTTTCAGTAAACACTGAAATACCTTTGGAGTAAAAAGGAGGGTAGAGTTCAACATAGATGGGTAGCCAGAGAAGAGGGAACAGAAATAAACACTAGTAACAGACATTTTGCAAAATCTCAAGGGAGCCCCGTATGTCTGAAAAATAAAGTGAAAAAAGATTTCTCAGCAGAACAATGTGTCATTAAGATGAGTAAGTTCACCTCTCATCCCAGTTCAGAAAAAGGAAACAGAGTCATGGGGAAATAAGGAGACTTCAGGGATATCCAGAAATGGCTTGTCCTTGCGTGTGAAGGGAACCCGATTTTCTCCATACTGCTTTATTTAAATTACCAGTTACCCAGAAAAAATAAATTGAAAGCTGTGAATCCCTAAGAGAAGAAACACAACTTTTTGAAATCTAAACAGTGATTCAAGAGTTGTTCAAATGTTCTGATTTACCATAATAAGATTTAGAGTTAACAGCTGAATCAATAGAATTTTAGTTAAATGAAAATTAACATTAATAAC